ACCCCCATTGCCTTTCACTCTGTGTAAGTCCCCTCTTTAAGGCATTAGTGCATGCTTTCTTTACTCTGATCTCTATCAGACATTACATACAGAACAGTGGATTTTGGGGAGAAAAAGACCACAGAGGGTCAGACAGATTGAGAAATTACTGAACTCTATTTTGGGAAACAGTAAGGATGTTAGTTGGCCTTTTAGGTCCGTGGCTTCAACAAATTATCCATGTTTTCAGTCAGACAACGGCGTTGACAGGGACCATCTGTGGAACCATCTGTGAGGACTCTTCACCTCTCTCAGAGTGTTGTGCCGATTCAAACACACACAACTACAGCCTCTCGTCAGGCATGGCTCCAGGTCCCGCATTGCTGGAGAACAAACAGGAAAGACCATCCACTGACCAACAAGCTACCGTGCTGTTATCCTTCTATCACTGTTGGCCCTCTGCAACAGACCTAAACGGGGTTGGGTGCTGTGAATTTCATTCTTAAATCAACACAATGCACACTGGATTAGCAGCCCACATCCTATAGGTCTCATATTTAGCAATCACCCTCAAGTACAGCAGACAAATATCCGCTGAATCACATTTTGATGTAATTCAGAGGCTGTAATTCAGAGGCTTCTTTCATCCAGGCCTTATTTTAGAACTATGGAAGTAAATGGCTATCGAGCACTCAATTAATTGCACTCCGGCCAGAGCCTGCAGTAAGTCTCAAATTTGCTTGGCTGATGGTGATTCATCCCTGTATGCCCCCGAGGTAAGAGGTGGGACTTTGAGAACTGGCTGCTGATGCATTGACCAGTCATGCTCCTTCAATTTCCTCCCATCTTATCTCAGGGAAACAAGTACAACCAGACAGCGACATTAAATCAGTGCAGTAAAGGTCTGCTGTAAAGATACTACGCATTTATTCCCCACTAACCAGAAGTGACCTACAGCCGGTGGTCCGTTGAGATAAACTACATATAAAAGAAAGGAATCAGATCTCCTATCGATCCCCTCAGTGTGTCGGCCGTGATTCTGTCTCTTTCTTGCTTTGCTTTGAAGATCTGGCACGGTTCAGCTGCTGGATATCTGACCCTCCCTCTTGTCCCACCAGCAAACTAGCAGGTACAATACCCCTGGGTGTTTTTAGCGGATCTCTGTTGGCAAACAAGAGCCTGTTCCTCTCTGGAAACACTGCGACACTAAAAATAAGCTTTGGCCCAACTTCTGAGACAAAAACCGCTGTTGGGAAGCTTGGCTATGTGACTTGAAATGCAAAGTTTGTTTATTTAGACGTCACTCGGAGCTTCTGGGGGCAAGAGCACGACCGCAGCTACAACATACGCACAGAGGTGATTATAATCAGCTGAATATAAGTGTGGGAGCTTAGAAATTGTAGTGGACAGAAATGTCGCTTACAGATGGGCTGGTGTTTATGGATTCGACCATAGCCCGATTCTGTTTTAACTCCATGCTCTCTTGGGGGAACTTTGTTTAAAGGCCACATTAATTACATTCTGTCTTTTCCAATATGCCACAGTGTTTAGGGAGATCTAATCACCAGCTTCAGAGAGGCTGGTGAATCGATTCTCATCCACCGCTCTGATGAGATTTTGAAGATGAAGCCACTCCCTTCTGAAGCTCGGCCACAAATGGCAGAAAGAAATGTCTCTCGTACAACAAATTCAAGAAATATGCTCAAACGCAGGGCACAGAAACCGACGGATATTTCCAGCAGAACATATGATTTGGTTTCTAAGCTCCATATATGGATTGTGAAGAGCACAGAGGAACATAGAGTCATGCACCTTTACCAACTGTGGCCATGGTAACAGCAAGATCAGAAGACGAGAATCAGAATGATTAAAAGCTGTGTGTGTGTGTGTGTGTGTGTGTGTGTGTGTGTGTGTGTGTTTTTGTGTCCTGTGCATCTGTGTGTTTTGTAGTAAGACTTGTACCTGTGCCAGATTTCAAAGCCCATGCAGAACGGGTCACTGTTGCAATGATAGTGTCAGCGGATCATCTCTCACATCGATAAACTTGGTTGCAGTTTGTCAGGAATTATGCATCTAGCTAGGGTGGTTCTTAACAGACATAGTTGAAAAAGACAGCATGGTTAGAGAGGAAGACGAGCTGAAGACGTGGGATTATGGGTACAGTCGCCTCGTATGCTTCTGCTTTAAATAATGCAGTTAGTGTTGCAGAGCACTTGCTCCATCTTTTTCCACCTTTTCCCTAAACACCCATGTTTCCTAGTGCTCTCCATCTCTCGTTTTCTCTTGTTTTATGTCCACAGAAACAATTTTCCCCTTTTCCCTCTTGCCTAATTCCAGTCTTTCACTGGACAGAGAACAGTGGGCTGACAAAGAGACAGAGAAATACAGAGAGAGAGAGAGGTACCAGCATAAGGGTGTCGTCCAATCACTACTGTGGTTGCTCATGTGAGAGGAGGCAGCTGCAGATATCTCTCACACTGTTCATTCAGTCTTTTCTCCCCTCCCCCATTTAATCCCCATGCTTCAGGTCTGTAGGAGGAGTTGGAGATGGAGGAACCGAGAGGCGGATTCTTTTTTTTCCTCTGTTCTCCTTCCATATTAACACCAGAAGCAATGAACCGGTTTGGTCCAATAAGTCTATTTACAACGCGCCCTGCTCTGACCCACAAAGTGTAATACCCCAGGGGTGCAGGATGAGGTAATATCACAACAAGTAGGCGACGGGATCACCTGTCCTGTGGCACAGCTGGAGTTGAGGGCTGCCCTGCCCACATCAGCATTTGGAGGCATCACTGATGTTTTCCTCCTAGTCTGCAGGCACATGAAGCACCACCGTGCGCTCCTAAAAATCCTGCAGCAACGCCCAGGGACCGCAACCACAATCTCCCACATGACTTACCAGGTTCTGCTTTCTTATATGAGATCTGCAACAAGGAAGCACCCGTGTTGCAGGAGTGCAGCCAGCCACCATTCATCTGAAAGGGGGGATTTAACAACAGCCCATCTAGCTACACCAAGAGTTACATTTATCAGCCATTCATGAGTACATAATCACAACACCAAAGCATGCTGTAGTAAAATCAATGCAACAATTCAAAGAAGGTAATCAGCTCAATGAACACCTCTGCGTGAATGACACAAACATTCTGCTGCAGAGCAGTGTTTCAGTGAGACATGTTTTCCATAAAACAAAGGAATCAATCAAACGTCATTTACATAATTTGTACCTCACATAGGTTAATTAGCAGCAGCTCCATGCACACTTCCACCGCACACATCTACACAAATGTCCCCCCCTTTCATTCCAATGACTCAGTAAGTAGCTGGCTCATAAAAGCAAAAATGTGCTCCATCAAATTAATAAATACAGGCAATGAAATCCCCTCATAAGAGATCATCCCATCTCTCTCTCTCTCTTGTGAATGAAATGCTGCATTCATTCAACTTGTAATTGAGAAATTCTAAAGCACTGAGTCACTGGCCAAACGCAGTAAAAGCTCACAGTGGTTTTTAGGTTGGAGGATGCAATGTTTGAAAATCCTTCGAAGGAGATGATATAGCCTACCTGAGAATCCAGCCCTGCTCTCCTCCTCTCTCAGGGAGCTGTCAGGGAATGATGCGGACTAAATTTCTGCGCGGCGCTTGGATCCCACCACAGAGTCAGTCATTGCGCATGGTGCCTGTCACCAAAACCCGTGTTCTTCTCTCTCTCTCTCTCTCTCCCCCTCCCTCTCTCTCTCTTTTTTTTTTCTCCTTGGAGGAGTAGTCTGTTGCTAGAGGCACAGCGGACCTCCACAATGCGTGGGAACTCAGTCTTCTATCCTGCGTGGAGGATGGAAAGCCCTTGGTACCCTGGGAAGGAAACCCCTGGATCTGAAGTGATAACACTGATGCTTAATTGGACTGTCATCACCTGATCGGATTGTCTCCATAAAGGCGCATAGTCGCTACATCTGTCTCATCATCCATGCAGTCCTATTCAGGAGTCGTTTTAATAATAATAATAATAATATTTATAACTGCGCTTTAACATTCACATTACAACAGGATCATATTTGTGGAAAGTTGTATTCCCATTACAGTGATTTTAATAGAGTTGGGTTACTATTCTTTACTTATCTATGTTGCTTTTTTTTATTTTGTGTTTATTTTCCATCCTCCACAACTATGGAGAAATATCAAAAATATCCCGTTTTAACAGCAAGCAAATATCGGCCTGCTATATTATTTGCTGGCACTTTCTTTACAGTCCCATGAGTTGCGTTACTATATTGTTTTTCCAGCAACAATTTAATCTCCCCCCCCAAAAAAATAACCCACTGAAATTCTAACATCGACGTCTCAATCATAATAGCGTGCCTCCACGTTGATTCTTATAGTGTGGAGACATTGCGCCATCTAATGGATTTAGTATTCATTGCACCAAAGAAAGGAGGAACTGAACCCCCTTTTCGTTTATTAATAAATGTATTTCAGTGGAATCTGCACAAAAAAACACCTAAAAGCACTCTCACTGTGAAATTAATTTGTATTTACAGTGTTACAGGCTCTGTTTTTAGTGATTAGTGTATGTTTGCCACACCTACACACACACACAGGGAAAGACTGCAGGTGAACCAAGAGGTTAATCCCCGCGTACTTCCGCATTCACATCCCACATTTTTCCATTAAATTGGAAAAACAGTTACTCTGACATAAATGATATACACATAAATGTTTAACATATGTTCAAACTACTGGTTGTCATGCATGAAAGACGCAGATACTTCCCGAAAACTGGCTTTAATTAAGTTTTTTAACGAACACATTATACGCATGCGCAGCTTGAATTAGCGACCGTTGTGAGCCAAAGACGATAGCTAGCCTGTTAGCTTGCTCGCTAACCGTTATTTAGGACGATTTCACATTTAAAGACGTTCAGACTAACAGACATAAAGTTTTAATACACCCGAGGGAACTGGGTTTAGGGTTGTGTTGCGACGTGAACTATCTTGACGGTGTATCTTCTTTGATCACGTGATTGAGGTTTACCGCCGTGGGTCACCTGATTTGTTGTGTTGCTGTTAAAGAGAAAAAAAAAGATGGCTGCCCACCTGTCGTACGGAAGAGTTAATTTAAACATTTTGAGAGAAGCAGCACGAAAGGAGCTTCGGGAGTTTTTGGATAAATGTGCGGGGAGCAAGGTAAGACAGGGAAAAAACACTGGCCGACACAGCGACTGTTTATTATCGCAACCATTAGCTAATAGCTAAATAGGTGACACTGACAGTGAATATGTGCACATTCAGATCAGTTTTCATGTATAACTGTATGTGCATTTGCTGTTCAGGCCATAGTTTGGGATGAATACCTGACGGGACCGTTTGGGATGATAGCTCAGTACTCTCTGCTGAAGGTAAGTGCTGCTTGTGCACAGTTTGTGTGTTGTAATGTCAGTAGACTGGGCCCAGATGAGGGCAAAGCTACAGTAATGTATCATACAGATGTGTGAACGTGAATAAAATCTTGGACTTGTGACTTCATTTGGACTTGAGGCTTTTAAAAACTGGAAAATACTTGATATGTTCCCCCAAACCCAAAGTTTAGACAGTATGTTATTTTAAAAAAAATGTGCCACAAATAAGTTAATTTCCTGAATTAATTAACGTTAACTCTAATCCTTTTTTTAATCTGATAGCATCTAATCAAGTTGCAGGAGCCACGAAGAACTAAATCTTGTTCATGTTCACAAACTACGTACAAAACAACAACAGCATAGAGGAAACTATATGACTTCTCTTTTTTTTTCATTGCTCAACTCTGACAATAAAATAACCTTGAATCAGACACATGTTAAATGTTTATTACTGTTTTTAAGGAACATGAAGTGGAAAAGATGTTCACCCTCAAGAGCGGCAGGCTCCCCTCTGCTGACGTCAAAAATATCATCTTCTTTGTTCGTCCCAGGCTGGAGCTCATGGACATCATTGCTGAGAATGTATTCAGGTCTGTTGATGTGTCCCATTTTTCAATCCGCACTATGTAAAAGAGGGATTGTTCTCTCTACCCCAGCAGTTAACACTTTCGTCCTGGATTGTGCCCCTTTTTATTTTAGTGAGGACAAGTTGCATTCGTCACGAGACTTCCACATTTTGTTTGTGCCTCGGCGGAGCATGCTGTGTGAACAGCGGCTGAAGGAGCAGGGCGTGCTGGGCTCTTTCATCAACATTGACGAGTATATCCTGGACCTGATTCCCTATGATGGTGACCTGCTCTCCATGGAGTATGAAAGTGCTTTCAGGGTGTGTGCAACATGTATCAACCAGCTGCTCTCTCTCTCTCTCTCTCTATATATATATATATATATATATATATATATATATATATATATATATATATATGTGTGTTGTTACAAAGTGAGGATTAGATTTCAACAGAAGGCAATATAACAAATATTTTAACACAATAACATAAAGATAATTGTAAGGAAGAAAAAAAGAAAAGCTGTGGTGTTTTTCTAACTGTCGTTATGTGTTTTTACACCCCTTTGTCTCTTACAGGAGTGCTACTTAGAAAATGACCAAACAAGCCTTTACCACACAGCCAAAGGCCTCATGACCTTACAGGCACTGTATGGCACCATTCCACAGATATATGGGAAAGGAGAATGTGCACGGGTGAGTGTGCTGCGAATAATACACTATTAACTGTACCGATGATTGCACATCGACGGAGGCTCAGCAGCAGCCAGGTGAATGAATTTGTTTGAGAAAGAAATGTTCTGCTTGTTCTCAGCATGTTGCCAACATGATGCTGAGGATGAAGAGGGAGTTTGCCGGAAGTCAGAATCAGATCCTGCCCGTGTTCGATACTCTGCTCCTCCTGGACCGTAATGTTGACCTGCTCACCCCGCTGGCCACACAGCTCACCTATGAGGGTCTCATTGACGAGATCTATGGAATCAATAACGGTCAGAATAAACCTTTTTTATTTGTAAATGTAACTCAAATAATTATAGTCTGCCTGTATTTGTGTGACTCTTGAATGTCTACTTCTGTTTTTTTATATCCAGTCGTTGTTTTTGCTCCCGCTGACTCACAGGTTATGTAAAGTTGCCTCCTGAGAAGTTTGCACAGAAGAAACAAGGTGAGGCGAGTAAAGATCTACCCACAGAGGCCAAGAAGTTACAGCTCAACTCAGCAGAGGAACTGTATGCAGAAATACGGGACAAAAACTTCAACGCAGTTGGAGCAGCGCTCAGCAAGAAGGCCAAAATCATTTCAGCTGCCTTTGAGGTTGGTCTCGCCTCACCTTTGTTGCTCTCATATTGTCCCAGAAATGAGTGCGATAAACAATGTTATTGTCATTTTAAGACCAGTTTATGCCACAGATAAACATACGGTAATCATGTAAAGTACACCATTTCAAAGAGCAATTAACTTTTAATTCTAAAGAATATTCAGACATTGAAGTTGGGATGTGAAAATATTAGAATTGTATATAATATTAAAATATCCCAAATAAATAAAAATGTAAATAAAATAAAAACCACACAATCAAAACAATAAATAACTTAAATAAATGTTCAACATTTGGCACAGGGGGAGGGTATAGAGTCATTTAGTCCTTTATGAGCATTATAGTAATGGTAGAGAAAACCCTGCAGTTTATTCTGGCTTTATTTTATGTTCTTCTTAAACAATAAGTCGATACTGTCAGTGGGGATAATTACATATTGTGTATATATATCCTACAATAACAAAATTATTGTGACAGGCCATGTTAAAAAATGTCTTTGCAATGTCTGGTACTTCCAGGGAGCTATATTAGATCACTTCCAGACATCCCAGCTGATCTGATCTGTTTGTAATCCCTGTGGCATTTTAACACAAAGGTCATAACAGAAATCCATAAAGGTTGGGGAAGTGATGACAATCACCTGGAGATAAGATAAAGTGCTAATTGTTCAAGTAGAATGCTTAACAAGGCCAAACATATTACCATTCTATCATCAGCTCGGGTGCATTGATTGTAAGACAAACTACATTAGTAGAGATTGTAAATAAGCAAAAATATGCACCATCAGAGGTGTTCTCACTATGGAAAGCAGTGAGTGTGAGCAGGCTACTAATGTAGGGAAAGATGCTTTCCATTAGAAAGATTTTCAGGGATTGATTGTTTGTGTATTGTCAGTGTGTAGCCTGAGGGGAATTTGTATAGACACCAAGCTAAAACAGTTTGTTGAAGATGGGTTAGACTGTTTGTCTACAAATATAATTAGACGAAGGCGCAGCAGCCTCCTACCCTTGTGTTTGGTGCATTTTCTTCCATGTCCAAACCTTTTTTACATCTGATTTAATTTGCTAATGTGCTGTATGATTTACTTTTTGAAGTAATTTAATTGGATTCCATCATTTTAATGCTGCTTTTCTATCAAAATATTAACAGCTCAGCAAGTAAAGAGGTATCTTTTGTCTTTCAGGAACGCCACAATGCCAAAACAGTGGGAGAAATAAAGCAGTTTGTGTCTCAGTTGCCTCACATGCAGGCAGCACGAAGCTCGCTGGCTAACCACACGTCTATAGCCGAGCTGATCAAGGACATCACCAGTGCGTAAATAAATCCCTCTTTTCCCCCTAAACCTGCATTTTGAACCACTTCTCAGTCTGTATTTAAATAACTACAAAATAAAGCATTGTGGTTTGTATAAATCTACACACAATCCTACCAGTAGTAACCAGTGGTGATAATATAAATCACCCAATAGCATCATAAAACTTACCTTAATTGTTTATTTCTCCTGTTTTTAAGTACTGTGGAGTCCCATATTTCTATTTTTTTCTTACAGTATTTTATGTTTAGGATGTCATCTATGTTTATTGTTATTACTATTATTATTATTATTTATGATCAAATCTAACCAATATCTCTTGTTTCAGCATCTGAAGCCTTCTTTGATAATCTAACAGTGGAGCAGGAGTTTATGACCGGAGTCGACACAGACAAGGTATTCTTCATTACCTGTTTTTTTAAAGCTAATCTTTCATTAAAAACACATAAATCTCACATAAATAGTAATTTGGTTTCATATGATTTTACTGAAATATACTGAAATCCTCACAATAATTGGAAATGTGTCATTGCATTTGTTATTATTGGATTTAAATGAGAATTCATACAGTGTGATTTATATACTTATAGTGAACGTTATGTTACTATCCAGGTGAACACATATATAGAAGACTCCATCGCTCAAAAGGATCCACTGATCAAGATCCTGCGTCTGGTGTGTATGCAGTCGGTCTGCAACAACGGCCTCAAGCAGAAGGTGTTCGACTACTACAAGAGGGAGATTCTCCAGGTAGAGACATAAAGATTGTTTTTTTGGTGGCGGCGTCTTTTCTGTGTGTTAGTGGTGAATTGCTGTGGACATGTGACAAATACTATCTGTAGGCAGGCTATCCAAATAAAGTGGAACCAATTGCATTAAAGGTCCAGTGTGTAGGACTTAGTGGCATCTAGCGGTGTAGTTGCACATTGCTTTTCCCTCGCTTCTATCGCTCCTTCCAAGCGCAAAATAAAAAACTGTGGTGGTCGTGTAACTTGTGAAAAGCACAAGGACCTATCTAGAGCCAGATCAATGTTTGTCAGTTCTGTGCTACTGTTGAAACATGGCTCATTCTGAGGTAACAAAAACATTACTAAAACTAATGAAAACATATCTATGAATATTATATTCCATTTCTTCCAATAGTTCCTAAATGTTGCACACTGGACCTTTTTTTAAATTAATTGAAACTGAGTGGTTAATAACGCCTTTTTTTGTCTTTTTGTGAAGACCTATGGTTATGAACACATGCTAACATTGAACAACCTAGAGAAGGCGGGTCTGTTGAAGCCACAGACAAGCTCAAGAAACAACTACCCCACTATTAGGAAGACCCTTAAACTGTGGATGGAGGACGCCAATGAACAGGTAAAGGATTTATGAAAAGGAGAGACTTAAACCCCATGCATGTTGGAGGATTTGAGGAAGACCTCTTTGACTCTGTGTTTTGATTTCTGCAGAACCCCAACGACATCTCCTACGTTTACAGCGGCTATGCTCCTCTCAGCATCCGGCTGACCCAGGTCTTGGCCAGGCCCGGGTGGCGTAGCATCGAAGAGGTGCTGAAGATGCTACCAGGTCCACACTTCGAGGAGAGACAGCAGCTGCCTTCTGGGCTTCATAAGAAACGTAAGGACCAACACTGCTGTTTGCCCTGCCGCTCACTAAACAGAATAAAAGTAAACGACCTCCTGCCTGCTTCGTGTAGATAAGACACAGGCTTTTGTTTCTGTCAAGTCGAATGCTGAACGGCAGCAGATTGATGACACAAAGCAGACAATACCACAGAAGCACTGTCAGGGTTTGTGGCTTTTCTATGCGTCTGTGTTGAAGAGGAGGCTAGATAAGGACACACTGTGACCACCTTCAGTTTTCCTGCGTCTTTTCGTACTGGCAGCGGGAGGTGTTACACTGATGTGAATAATGAATTTGATTATACACTCAATTTGAAACGTGCTAATTAGAACTATGAGTTTGGGCATCAGACAGTTGACTTGTTTCTACATGCCTGCCTTACACTGGATTTTAAAAGGTGATAATAGAGGACTCTAATCTAGGGGGAGGGTGATGGCTAAATTAGTGTTTTCACATTTCAAAATATGGGGCTTTAGCAGATGGGACTTGGCCGTCTTTTACATTCAGTTGTATTTTGTTAAAAAGCAATGGCACGATGATGTGTCCATGTATGCAAACAAGTAGCCTACGTATGTATTTCTTTATTTTTCTCATCTTTAATATATTATTTTAGATTTGACAAGGATCAGAGAAATGTATTTACAAGGTTGTACAACGAAATGAAGGTTTGCAGTCCCTTCATGCTACATACATAGAGAAAGATAATTGAATTCATAGTGGAATAACATAAAATAAATCAATTAAAACAGTATGTACAGTTATTTATATACATACATGGAAATAATTCTGCAGTGCAGTTTTTGATTCTGTGTCTAGGTGTAAACAGCAGCAACAGCAGAGTGAGGATAATATGGTTTCATCTTTCTATAAAATGTCTGACATTTGAGATACAGTGTCCATCTACTTTCACTGCACCAAGCATCCGCCTCCCCTCATCCTCCGTCGAGGATGCAGGATGTTGATGGAGCAGGTCTCTGTAAAGATGTGGGTGGGGCGGAGGGAGGGAGATTGGGATTCTGCTGTTAATGTAATTGTATAAGTACAATATAAAAGTGAGCAATGGCAGACATTTGATGGATTTCCTATGTCAGGGTGAAATGCGCTCAGTCGGATTCCCCTTGAAATCAATGAAACAAAGCACTTTTGTCCACAGGGGGCCGACAGAATCGACACAAAATGAAAGTTGCTCGCTGCTTTAATTTAGCTTTTATATTTGGTTTGAGTGACAGGAATCTCTTTTTACTGTCGTACAGGCCAACAGGGGGAGAACCGGACAACGCTGGTGTTCTTTCTCGGTGGAGTGTCGTATGCGGAGATAGCCGCTCTCCGGTTCCTCTCTCAAATGGAAGACAGCGGGATGGAGTATATTATAGCCACCACGAAACTCATAAACGGTACAACATGGATCAAATCCCTCATGGACCGGCCTGAATCCCAGACCCCCTGAGTCACCTGCATGCACACCTGGCCACATCAAACACCCCATCCATCAGAAAAAACCTCAGCTGCTGTTTTATGTCCGTGTCAGTGTACTGCAGGTGTTTCATTGATGTTTGTGCTGGTTTAAACAGCAACAGGCTATTTAAAGGTGCCCAGTGGAGTTGTCTTGTAAACAAAGTCATGTTTCCATTCAGTGTTACTGACCAAAATGCGTTGTGTGAATCCCTGATGCCTGATATGAATGAATTTCCTTCTTCATAACATTTGCGAAACCTTGTTTTTTTTTATATATAATTTGAATTGTGCATTAGTATATCCATGTTTTCTTACTTGCCTTTGGTTTTGCTTTCCTACACAACTACAATTTACAACAGACATAACACATATGTACATATACATACATTCAATTAAAATTCAAAACCTTTATTTAAGTCTCGAGAATCATTGAGGTTTTCCTCATTTACAGTGATGTTGAGAAACGGAGAAATATGAGTTAAAACTATTTAAATAAAAAAAGCTATATGCAATTGTAATACAAAAACAAATCAGTTCAAATGAGAAACATTCCTACAGGTGCTGCACGGTAGCTCACCTGGTAGAGTGTGCGCCCCATGTAGGTTAAGATCTTGCTGCAGCAGCCTGGGTTCGATTCCAACCTGTTGCCCTTTGCTGCATGTTGTCCACCTCTCTCTACCCTATCCTGTCTATCAAATAAAGGCATAAAAAACCCAAAGATAGCTTTAAAAAAAATAAAGAAACACTACAACCGCCGACTATGCATCATCTGCGGCCTCGTGTGTGCATGATACAAACAAAACATTGCTCCGTAGTGCTTCTAGTGGTCAGAAACTCCACAGGGTACCTTTCATTTTATTTGAGTCCTTGATTTTGCACCCAGACAATATAATATAAAACTGGTTTAATGCTTCTGTTTATCCTGCATCCTTTTGTCCTCTGGCTCTATTTCCATCACTGAGGCTCTGCTGTATATATATGTATGTATGATTAAAATCTTTGGGATGTTTGCGATGTCATGTATAAGATGATTAAAGATGCACTTATACCATTTTTTGAAGGCTTTTGTAGGCAGTGTTTGCTGGGAGATAAATAAGCAAATAAAACTCTGCAACTGAAATTACTCTGCCATGTGGGAAGCCATTTTGTGTATTGTTTGGGAGATTATTTTCAGGCAGACAAGTAGATTGTGATCAGGGAGAGCAGATGAGAGGCAGGGATGGGAGTGTATCCGTCAGCAGTGGTCCAGCTCTCTGAAGAAGCAATTAGCGCCGTAACAGGCCTCCCGATCAGCCGGTAATGACCCTGTGCTGTCTGGAGAGCTCAGCCCACGGCAGCCCATGATGTGACAGCACAGGACACTGATTGAATTAGGAGGCCATTTGCTCCATGTTCCGGTAGAGGATAACTGTGCTGCGGGAGGGTGTTTGATCTCTGTTTCAGTCAATACCTTCTCCGTGCCTTACACTATGAACACAGGGAGACCTGCTGACAGCACTCTGATATTTTGGTGAGCTAGCTTGGGTAAATATATGTTAATTTCCTCCATTTTGATTGGCTAGAAGACTTGGAAACTGCTTTGATTGAATTAATTTTAAAATATTTAATTCTGTGAATTGTGCTTGATGGCTAAAATCCTAAACTGCAATTTCTTTGTTTGAGGAGCAGGTGCACTGAAGACTTAAACTCCCATTAGATCAACCCCAGGGGATTCAGATCCTTGTGATCAGTTATTGCTTTTGGCTCCTCCTCTGCCTTAAGGGCTTGAAACGCTCAAGGCAGCACACACCAACTTGGACTTCAGGGCTGGAAGCACAGGAGCCCACTTGCTCATCAGCTCCTGTCCTCCTCCAACAACACCAAGGTATGATTGGATTAAGTTTTTTACACCTTGAGCCCGTCTGTGTTTCATGCACATTGGAATTTTCTCTGTTTTCCTTTAGTTTTGTCTGTTAAACCTTCACCAGACAAACATTGTTATATTATTATATAAGACTACTGACTACATTGTACTGACATTTCTTTTTAACATTTGCATTGCACCTGATGGTGTACAAAACTTCTGTCACATTATGAGAAAACTTACAGGATTTAACTTCCGTTTCGATCTGTAGATTTGCTTAACGGGGTATCAAACATTAGTGCACATTTACAAAACTTTTTAAAAAGAAGGATTTATTAACATCTTTGTGCTTTGCAGGAAGTGCATAAGCAATGACATGGAAGTCTGATTCCCATCTCATAGCTAGATGTTTTCTGGAAATGAGATATTCATTTCCAGTGAAAGACCGCAGATACTCATATATTATTACAACTTTTCTAATATTTGGCGAACCCTTTTCTACTTTGCCAATGCATATATCAGACTTGATATAAACATTTTATCAGAATTGAAACACCATGAGTCATCTCAATAAGCCAGGATCGTTTCACTGCCTCTTTTGATTTTATGATGTATTTATTAATATATTAATTTAATGTTTAATTTCTCTCTTTTTCTATTTAAATTGACTACTATCTATATGTGGGTGGGACAGGGAGGGGGATCCATCTTTGGGTGAGTTTATGTGCAGATTTGTTAAATGTAAAGTTTGAACTAAAAAAAAAAATACAAAAGAACACAACTGTGTATTTATCAGCATCATTGGTTCATCTGTGAGCTTGACTGTAACTTCTGCTGCCCGACAAATAACTGCTTCAAAGAAAACACATGAATGTATTCAGTATGTCTTCCTAAAAATATCAACAGTTTAAGACGCCACGATGATGCTGAAGATGTTCAGAAGTCTATATTGTTTGCGACTATGCACAAACAAAGCAGATCGATACTGAACCCATTTAGTGCAATTTACACATAAATTATTAACAGTGGTCTTGTGACTGCGCCGCCTCCACAGCTTCTACAAGGCTGGGAACAAATCAATTTGGACCTTGGATACAAATAAATTTGAGCACATTTATAAACACATAAAGCAAAGAAGAAAATGCATTTGCTGCTTAAATTAAAGTCTTTTTGTATTCTCTTGTATTCTATTCTGAAATCTGACAAATGTGTGTGTTTGCAGAATGGGTCGAGGTGAGAACATGGGACACCTGACTCAGGCCGGTCGCAGTCAGAAGACCCAGCAGGAGCCTCTGGATGTGGAGCCCTTGTCAATCCGCTTCCTCCGGACATTCAGGGAAATCCTCAAATTTGTTCTCTTCAGCTACACGGTGCTGTTTGGTGCTTTGCTCCTCGCCAGGTGGACCACCTATTTTATGGTGGGAAAGTAAAAAAGCAACGACGGTCGAAGATTGAGCCTGTTCTCTCTGACTCGGAGCTCATTAATGAAGCTGATCAGGCAGACCTCCATGGGATTTGTGGTCTATGCAAAATCATTAATGTCTCCTCACACAACAATAACAGCTGGAGCGATCATGTTTGTTTCCTTATTTGACTCACAGTCTGCAGTAGAGCTCACGGCTTTTTGTGCAGTTTATTTTTGAATAATCAACAGGACGTTGCAGGCATGTAGAGCGACTCTACTCACTTAAACAAGCCAGCTTGCATCCGATGTGTTTGTTGACAGTTGCTTAAATGTGCAATCTAGAAACTGTGATATCTGCTGAGCTGCAAAATGACCACAATGAAGCTATAAAATGTGTGTATAGTGTATTCTTGATTGATAAAAGCTTTAAAGCTGGTTTTCTTTCTTTGAGGAATCACATATAAAGTTTAAATGTTTGTGTAAATAAGGCAGTGGCAATGTCAATGGGGGGCTGTTTCTCTGTGATAGTGCTAATATGTTGTGGATGAATTATACAAAGCTGTCTCCTCTGATGCCCCGGAGTCCTCGGGCTCTCTGAGGGCCTGAATGCTCTGCTTTATGGCAATTAATAGGTAAATTCAAGAATTGTAAATTTGGTTGGGGATACTGTATGCACCATCAAAGCACTATATTGATATAGATAAATGATTTGGGCCTTAAGGTAACACCGGCATTTCCTCATTACCTCATCTTGAGTTAAAGGTTAAGAAAAATGTTTTAAGACCTTTATTATTTCAGTTTAAATTGTGCTTCAATTTGTGATTAGTCAAATTACCTAAAAACTAGGGTGAACCTGTGGTTTAGGGGTTAAGATGCCGACCATGAAAAACAATGTCCCCACTACGAGACTTGCTTGTGACCTTCGTTGTCTCTCGCCCCCCAAAAATAAACCTTTTTTAACCAAAAAACAAATAATACACACATAGGGTGACAGAGAGTGGGATTGGAAGAGGGATACATAAGTCAATAGGCCTTTTTCATGGACACAGAAGACATTTTGACATGTTACAATGGGGCAAAACACACAGGTACATATATATAATAAAGTAAAATATGGTTGAATTATTCAGTTTAAGGACTGTCCCTTGAAACTTGACTGGCACAAATGACAAAAGTCAAAATGTCTGTTGTGTTTTGACAAAGGCCTGCAGGGGTCCACCACTATATGTTGCCCTGGGGCAGGTGAATCTGGTCCTGGTGTTAACCCTGAACCGCAGTTTGCATGGGAGCAGTTAGTTTTTTACCTCAGGGCACCGAGGCTGGCCTGTTCAGAGCGTCACCCTCCAAAACTGATGTCCGGCAGGTGCAAGAAACTACAGATCCCACTAAAGCTTAGAGACAGTAGCAGGTGCCACCGGAAGTCTTTGGTTTTTTTTTTGGGGGGCAAGTTGTGTTCATGGGTGCAGCACTGTCTTTAAATGTGTCTTTAAAAAGTCATTAAAACTGATGTCCAGCAGGTGCAGGAAACCACAGATCCCAGTGAAGCTCAGAGGTAGTTGCCCTCCTTGGAGAGGTTTGCACCTCAAGAATAAATAAAGTTATTGTTATTGCAACTACTACATATGAATCATACGTGAATTCTCTTAAGTTTCCACTTCAATAAAATAAAATAAAATAAAAAAGTAAATCACATTTCCTAAATTAAACCAAAAAAAAAAAAAAAAAACACCCCTGCGTGCGAAGGTTAGTTCGATTTCAACCACGGCAACAATCCACGCGGGCGGGGTTTAAGCCATTACAGGGTTTTCTAAAAAAAAAAAAATAAAGTCTTTATTACTTTTCACTGAAAATTAAACGAGCTATAAATCAATTAATCGTGTGGCCTCCGGGCACAGCGGCGGAAGGACACCCGCGTCGCTGACGGCCCGTGAGTGCCAGCCGGATTAAAATGACCCGCTGCGCCCTCGCCGCTCTCCGTCCGACGCGTCCTGTGAACACCGCCCGCGCTGCGCCATTTTGAAAAGTGCAACGCTGGGGAGAGGCAGAGAGAGAGAGAGAGAGAGAGATCTCAAAGTAGAGTGCAAAGTCTAAAAACAAAAAACAAACAAATAATCACTACAGAAGATTTACAGTTCACTTTCTCTCTGCTTGAAAAACTCCTCTCGTTGTCCAACATCAACCGGGCGGGGAGGGTGAGGGAACCGAGGACTTGTGCGGAGCTAAGCAGGAAACTCCCCCGAGGAGAGGTTTTTTTTTTTTTTTTTTAATACCTCCACTGCTCCTCGGTCAGAACCACCCAGCCGACCCGGGTCAGCACTGCTCCAGCCCAGGGCCCCTTGCTACAGAGACACCCGCCCTCCGAGTCGCTCACCATGGCAGGTAAAGAGTGAGAGAGTGTTTTTTTGTGGACGGGTGTGATTTGAGTTTTCCTTTTTTTTGCCTTTAACCGAAAGCCTGAGCAAAGCTAGGTAGCATGCTAGGATACAATGTGACTGACAGTGTGAAAGTGGCAGCAAAACGAGATTAAAAGCTGCTTTTAAAACCCCCACACACACACCTGGTTGTTTGTTTTTAAAAAAAATGTGGAGTTAATGTGAAACCACGGGCTGGCTTTTGTTCTTAAAATGGCTGTTGTTGTTGTTTTAAAAGCTAAGTTAGCAGCAAGGGCTAACGCGTGTAAAGTTGTCTGTGATGGTGGTGCGTTACAACTTGGGGGGGTTGTCTGTGTCTGTGTCCGTTGCAGGGGCCGGTGGTGGGAACAGTGATGTGCAGTGGTGCTTCTCCCAAGTCAAAGGAGCGATTGACGATGATGTCGCTGAAGGTAAGTTGCATATTTTTGGCATCCTCTGCAATGCTTGTTTTTTTTGAAGTTAGCTTTGATGCTAACTGCTACGCTGTCTGTTTGAGGGTTGTCTGTGCAGATTTTTTTATTTTTTTTTATTTTTACCTGTTTGCACAAAAGTCAAAGGTTTAGGTTTTGGCACATGCTTGCTTGATAGTCCAGTAGGCCTTTTACAGACAGGTAGAACTAGACAGCTGACAACATTCATCTGTTCTTTGCAAAACATCTCAGCAGGCAGTAACTATTACAATTCCTCCCAGTGTATTTGTCTAGTGTGTGTAATTTAATGGTTGTATGCCTGAGAGTGAAAATGCATTATAGAATTGAATAGTTGCAGGTATTTTTTTTTGCACACAAGTAGGAAGTTATTGAAGAAGTGAGTTGATTTTTGATTGAGCAATGTGTGTCACAGCGTGCGTTAAAGATCCAGTGTGTGACATTTAGGGTGATCTATTGGGCTCAAATGAAATATGATATTCATAGGCATGTTTTTATCTGTGTGTAATCACCTGGAATGAAGAATTGCTGGGTTTTCGTTACCCTAGAACGAGCCGTTTTTATCTAAGATGAGATAGGACAGGCCTCTTCTACGGTGGTCACCATGTTGAACCGCCGTATTTCTACGCTGGCCCAGAACAGACAAACCAAACTCTGGGTCTTTGCATGTTCAATGTCCATCATAGTTTATCCTTTTGTGCTTGGAAGGGGGCGGTGAAGTGCAGGTATTGCAATCTGCAGCATCCCCACTAGGTGCCACTAAATCCTGCACACTGGTCCCTTTTTTTAAGTTCCAACTTTCAAAGGTTCTGATCGGACCCTCAAAGTCAAAATAGAAACTTTTACCACTTAACTCTATCGGTATCGAGCTGTACGGATGGTCATATATTCTCAGACTTGTACTACAAACTCCATATAAGGGAGGTGAGGGGAGGGGAATTTCCTTTGTGATGCTCAAAACATTACAAAATGTCATGAAATGAAAACCTTGACAGCAACGTGTCTTTCCAGAAACACTGTGTTAGCTATGTAGGACAGGGGTTCCCAAACATTTTCATGTCAAGGACCCCTACAGTAGATGCACTTTAGGCCAAGGACCCCCTAATTTTGTCTTAAGGAATCCACTCTGAGTAGTTTTTAACTTTAGGGTTGATGATAATAAAGTCTTCAATCAATAATCAAACTAGTATCATTACAATCTTTTAAGTTTTCACCTCCATATGAACAACAAGACCCGTGGTGGTCGTAACTGCCCCTTTTCCCATTGCCCAATGATGTGCCCAAATCACATATGTTTACAGTACATGAAGAACTTATTTGTGTGTATAGGACTACACTGTTGTTTACAGTAAGCTTTGCCTCAGAACAAGTATAAATGTGAGCCTCTCCTTGTGTCAATACCCGATACATAGCGGTGCATAGGCTGAAAACTAAACACTACACATCAGTGAAGTAGTTTTATTTGACCCCTGCAGAAATGCTCTCCTCCACTCTGCCCTCTTTTGCTTTAAATGAGTTTGTATGGAGTCAGGTCGTATCAGGCACTTTGTGTGCTCTGTGGTAACAGAGGAACAACACCATAGTCTATATTAAGGATTGCACTAGCTCAGAATAGTGCCAGCCTGTAAACAGGGATTGATTGTTGTGTTGTAGGATTTGATGAGAATGCTTGTCTTTGAAAAGTGCTGAATAGCTGCACATGGCATGTTTTCTTCCCCCCCCCTCCTAAGAGTGTAGACTTTAAGTTCCATTGGACTAGTGCATTGTATTGTGTTTATATATACATTTACGTCACCGCTCTGTTGTGTTTTCACCATGGTTCATACAGTAGGTGGACAAAACAGGAGCAAGCGTACAATATCTTTTTTTAACTGGAAGAATTTTGTGCATCACTGGGAGGAAATTAATCATTCAGCCAGTTGCAAACGAGTGCAAAATATTTAGACATTGAACACACCTCACATTTACACAACAGGCCCACTGCTACATTAGACAAAAAAAAGAAGGCACACAGTTGGATTATATTCTTATTGCACTACCTTATTTACAGCTGACATCATATCTACTGTTGAGTTCAACCACTCTGGGGAGCTGCTAGCCACTGGGGACAAGGGGGGTCGTGTTGTCATCTTTCAGCAGGAGCCTGAGGTAAGTTTTGTTGACTCATCTGACTAAATTAAATTAAGGAAATCTAGTTATGATAAATTAATTTGCACTTCCTTCATGCTACACAAATGGGGGAAAAAAGATAATTGAATATATAGAATAACAAATACAATTTGTAAAATCAATCGATAGTTATTTATATACAGACACGTGTACACCTTTGCCGTTACCTTAGCCGTTGCCGTAGTCAAAACCTCCTGATCCAGTCAATTTGAATACTTTTGGCTCAAACCCAGATTATTCAAAGATGTTTCGGCAATAAAACATGAAAAATATACAGATTGAAGCAATAACGTAGGTTTGCAGGAGCTCCCTGTCGCTGCTTCTACATGAATTGTTTTTCACATTTGATAAATATATAGTTTGGTCAAGCTTGTACATTTTACTGAATTCAGTATTTACACCGAACATACCATTTTGAAATGAATCATCATCAATCAAATGATCATACGTGAGCTAATACCCAGACTGTTGCTCTAAGCCTTTTTCGGTTTCCACCTGAACTGACTCTGATCTGCTGTCATTATTCAGTGTAAGAGTCAGCCACAGTGTCGAGGAGAGTACAATGTTTACAGCACCTTCCAGAGCCACGAGCCCGAGTTTGACTACCTGAAAAGCCTTGAGATCGAGGAGAAGATCAACAAGATTCGATGGTTGCCTCAGCAGAATGCAGCGCAGTTTCTTTTGTCTACAAATGGTTAGTTAACCAAATGTATTCTAATGAAATTCACTCTCTGTTGTGCATGTCGGTGATATTTAAATATTTTAACCTGAAACCTTTCCATCTGTCAAACAAGTAATCTAACTTAAAAAGTTTCTTCTGATTCTACAGTTGATGTTTCTAATGATCTCTGCTCTTTCTCATTGGTAGACAAAACCATAAAGCTGTGGAAAATTAGTGAGCGTGACAAGAGACCAGAGGGCTACAATTTGAAGGAAGAAGATGGGAGATACAGAGATTTCAATACTGTCACAACACTACGGGTGTGTATAAAATGCTTTATCGCTGTCCCAGTGATACTGAACATGTGCGTGTGTGTATATATATATATATATATACCAATATTATCCACTAGATTTGTAATTGTAAGCTGCAGTCGGGGTTCTGCACTTACTTTCCATTCATTTCTAACATGAATAAATCAATGTAATGAATTAAAGTTGAAATATATTTTGCTTGTTTGCAAATTACTTGAAATCCCAATGCTCTATTGGTGTGTACAGCTTCCCATTACCCCACAAGGACAAAAGTACACAGTTGACTGTACTCGGTTTGCCTCTATATGACCTACATAAACAAGAAAGACCATCAGTGAGAAGATTCTTAATGCCTGCCAGGTCGGATACCTCTTGAAATAAATTGAACAGAGCGGTGGAAACACTGCTTTTTTCCACAGAATCATAACACAAAATGAACGTTTGTGTTTATTTAATTCAGACCAATTGTATTGCACTCATTAATGCTTATTAAGTTAAATTTTAATTAGTCAAAACAAAAACACATTGTATGACCACTTCTCACGTCTATTCTGCAGTCAGTTGTTTTTGATTCATGCAGACATATCGACTCAATGTCTCACCAGCAAAAGCACAGGTGTAACTAATAACACTATTAAGCCATTCCTGCAGTGCAGCAATTCATGTTATTAGTTACACCAAGTGTCAGCTCTGAATACGCTCTGTTTAACTTTAGTTTCACTGCACATTTTTCTCCCTCAGTCACATGCATCCTCTGCTTTAGGAAACACTGATCTATATTTATTGAATACTTTCCAAATATAGACTCGGTTCAACAGAGTATGTTACACAGAGGCTCTTTGTTTAAAAGACAGTTAACTCTTCCTGTTTGCATCAGTATTAGTGAAACCTTTTGTTTCCCCCTATAACTACCTGCAACATCTCAAAAATTGGAACTGAGAGAGTATATTTTATGTGTTACCTACATCATTGATACTAACGCAGCTCCTCTCCTCAGGTACCAGTATTCAGGCCCATGGACTTGATGGTTGAAGCCAGCCCTAGACGGGTGTTTGCGAATGCTCACACCTACCATATCAACTCCATCTCAGTCAACAGTGATTGTGAGACCTACCTGTCTGCAGATGACCTGCGCATTAACCTCTGGAATCTGGAGATCACTGATCGCAGCTTTAGTATCCTTTTTGTTTTTTTATTCCATTGCAGCCATCGTCATAGTTCTTCATGTAATTACTCATAGTTATTCCCATAGACTTTAATTATGTCTCCTGTCCTTACAGCAAGAATACTGACTATATTGGGAAATGCAACCTCCCATTTACTTTTATGATTCTAAGCAGTGACTGTTCTTGTTACTTTGAAATGTTTATTTGCTGTTGGTGTTCAGTTTGAGTGTTCATTTTAAGTTAACATACATTTTTGTGATTTTTATCATGAATGTTATGTTGTGGTTAGTTTAGTTATTTTATTCATGATATCTCTGGCCCACTTGTCAGATTATGATCCCCCACATGCTTCCTGTTCACTTGTACACCACACAGCAGTCAGAGTGCATTACTCGGTCCCTGCAACAACACTGAAACCCACTGCATACCAGGACACCTTTTTTGATCCATGTAAAGTCAGTTAATCAATCCTGTTGATTATGTAGGTACATACATTTTGTGGCTTTATGCTGGTGTATTTTTTAAAATTATCTTAATGTAGACATGTTTTGCTGACTTATTCGATACTGCCACCAGATGGATAATGGCTCTAACAGAGTTAGAAGTTTAAAAAAAAAAGTTAAATGGTAAAAGTTTGACCCCAGTGAATCATCAGTGTAAAGAAATGTTTTAATCCTGAATTGAGCTGACTTTTTGCTGAGAAAGCTGAAAGGGAGCGTCCTCCCTCTCTAAGGGAGCAGTGAATTATGTGCCAGCCAAATGCTGCTTGCCACTGTAAGTGCTTTCATAAAATAAAGCAGTGTTTATATTGACACTAACTAGTTTACAACATATCAGATAGGATCCTGAATTGATCACAAACAGGGACGGAGTTTCTTTCTAGAGAATTATTCCATTATAGCATTTTTATAACTTCTAAAAATTCACACAGAGCCATGCCTTAACCTCACTTCTTAAGATATTGTTGACATTAAGCCAGCTAATATGGAGGAGTTGACGGAGGTGATCACAGCAGCGGAGTTCCATCCCAACCAATGCAACACTTTTGTCTACAGCAGCAGCAAGGGCACCATCCGCCTGTGTGACATGAGGGCATCAGCACTGTGCGATAAGCACTCTAAATGTAAGCACAATTTATCTTCTGCTGTGTGCCTGCAGGGGACCTTTTGAATTCTGAGGGGGTTGCCTGTGGTATGACTAGAAGAACAATGAGTGAGAAAGTGAAGAAAGACCATGGCCTTCCTTGCAGTTTCCCTTTGCGCTTCCATTATTTATGGGTTAGAGCTCCAAAACTGGCACTTCTCTTTTTAGATTTTTCAGTTTTAGAGGAAGAGGGCTTTAGGAAATATATATTTATAGTTTAGGAAGTGTGTTTGCCAAAATTGTGGGACAGACAGATAAAAGTGCATTCCTGCACTATTAAGAGTTGTAGATGTTGCAGCATTAATGGCTATACTAATGGCATGCATCCTCTTTTCTTTTTAGTGTTTGAAGAGCCAGAGGATCCAAACAATCGTTCATTCTTTTCTGAAATCATCTCATCCATCTCTGATGTAAAGTTCAGCCACAGTGGACGCTACATGATGACCCGTGACTACCTGTCTGTCAAAATCTGGGATCTCAACATGGAGTCCCGGCCAGTAGAGACATACCAGGTGTGTAACCGTTGCTGTGCTAAGACAAAAGTAATACATCAGTTTGTGTGTATTTTAAGCCCTGAAGTAATTCTACTGTCTCACCACTAGAGGGAGGTATTTTACAAAAATCAAAACAAAATGTTGTTTTCACTCTTGCACAACAGTTGATTACAACACCGCTCTGTCACTTTCTTTTAACAGGTGCATGAATATCTCAGGAGTAAGTTGTGTTCACTCTATGAGAATGATTGCATCTTCGACAAGTTTGAGTGCTGCTGGAATGGTAACGACAGGTGAGTGAATATATTAAATGCACTATCAGGGCACAAAGACTTCCTTCTGGACAAGTGTTGTTACTATATATACTATACTTCTACTATATCTTGTATATGGTCTTTCATCATGCCTTTGGAGTGCCCCACACATTCATGCATTACGCATGCAAGTGTTTGGGGTTGACCTTTTTATTTGACGCAAGTGAACCCAGCAACACTGCTGTTATCAATAACTGTGGTTATCTGCTCAGTGCAGAGCGTAAGGCTGCACATGATTTGTTTTTTGTGTCGGGGGGGCTATTCTGCATGTGCTCCTAGTAGTGGTTCATGACAGAACCATGCACTTGTGGCTTTTTTGATTAATTACTCTTTATTATTCTGATGTGGTTTACACTCACTCATGCGTTCTCTCTCTCTCTCTCTCTGTCTTTGTCTCTGTCTCTCTCTCTGTCTCGCTCTCTGTGTGCAGCGTTGTGATGACCGGCTCCTACAACAACTTCTTCAGGATGTTTGACAGAGGCTACCGGCAGGACGTAACTCTAGAGGCGTCGCGGGAGAACAGCAAGCCGCGATCGGTCCTGAAACCTCGCAAAGTAAGCACGGGTGGGAAGCGCAAAAAGGATGAGATCAGCGTAGACAGTTTGGACTTTAACAAGAAGATCCTCCACACTGCCTGGCATCCCATGGACAACATCATTGCTGTGGCCACCACCAACAATCTGTACATATTCCAGGAAAAACTGAACTAGAATTTGTTGAACCGCTCAGATCCCAGTTTCTGCTTGAGCCCCATTGCTCTGATACACACATACAAACAATATCTGTCTGTCTTTGGCTAAATCCCCAAGTCTTGATTTGATCTGTCCTTGGTGATTTTAGTATTGAATGTGACGAGGCTAACTCTGTCAACAACAAACCGTGGCATTAACACAGTACATCCAAGCAGCCATCACAAGCACACTTCCATGTGTATTTTAAATACAAACATGCAGGATTTGTAGATCTGAGTCCAGAATTTGGGATTTAGTGTCATGGGTTTTCTCCATTCGAACACTCCATTCACTGAGCTACCGTTTGCAACTCCACTACATCCCAAACCAAAGGGAAAATGTGTTAAATGCACATATTTGGCTAGTTTGTTTAATTATTCTTTTGTGCCATTGTGACATGATTCATTTGTATGTCATAGCTTCCAATTTGTTAAGTTTTTGTAGCGACCATGTTTTATTAGTTTGAATAGGAAATTCTTTCTCCTGTTTATGTCTTTCTGTCACCAAGTTCCTTTTTGGTACTGGCCTGAGACACTGCTAATACAAGCTGTCAACACTCCATATTTGCCCCCCCCTTCAAGTTTTCGTCAAGTTGCCAAGTTCACTCACCACTTGTTTCCTAATGTACAGTTTGATTATGCTGTTAAATAGTGTATGACTTACATTACTGCTAACCTTTGTCCACAATGTTTGTAAGATCAAATATCAAACTTGAAGGCAGCCACTGGTTTACATTCATTTCTCTACAGAAAGAAAGTCAACTTACTTTGAACTGACTTGACATGTATTCCATCACAGTGAACTTGTTGTTGTTTAGGTCTAAGTTAAGCAGGAAAACTAGGGCTGCACGATACAGTTAAAAAAAATCATATTGACTTTATTTTGCTATATGATTCACAATTAGTGGAAAGGATCATTTTGTATCACAATTTTCACTGAAAACAAACTATTAAAATCATGATTACATGTCATTTGCTAGGATCTGTACCAGACAAACATGTTTTCTTACCTCTGGTGAATGAGATTGTCTCTACAGAACTATAGCACTTCATTATTATACTCACACATTTTACCTTTTTATCAAAAAATTTGCTGCTGGCAATTTGGATATTGCACCTCGCCATACTGCAGTTTCCGTAATAATCCAATTTATGGTGCAGCCCTTAGGAAAACTTAAGCGTAACGTAACATCTGACACTAAAAGTAAGTTTGTCTTTAGAACAACATCTATTCTTAATGTTTTTCTTCTGCATTAGAGATCCTGATACATGTTCAGCATCAGTCACAACAATCTCTAGTCTCTCTGCATTTAAATGCTCACTGCGATGGATTAGTTACCTCAGGCAAGATTCAAGTCTGTAAGTTGATGGTCATTGTGTACTGAAATGGCTACATGTAGGGAAATAGTCAGCAGTAATGTATGTGATTTCTAGATAATGGCCTGAAACATGAAAGTGTCGTCCTTTTTAACATAACAGCACGCATTCGTCGGGTGTTGTGGTTTTGGGAGTTGAATCGGGGCTGATCATGCCAAAGTTACCACTCCTGTGCTGAGTTATATTCATGTCCAGCTGTCTAGCAGAGAAGGTGCACCCAGCCCACCATATATGAAGCTCAGGACAAAAGCTTATATACATTGGAAGCGGCGTGATGGCGTGATGTAGCCTAATTCTCCCGTGGTCAGCGGCATCAAAAGGTGTGCCGCTGCCAGCTCCCCCCCCCCCCCCACCCCCCACCCCAAAGCCTGTTGTGTTGTTGCAGATTGATCGACCGCTTTACCCTCTGGATCTAGTTTCTGTTTGTAGAGGTTTTTTTTTTTTTTTTTTTTAAATGATGTTTTGTACTGTACCCGATAAAAGAAGAATAATCACTATAGCTGATTTATTTTTGTATAAATTAAGGCAATAGGATTACAGTCTGATCACTGTAGTTTCTTTAGCTGTCTATCTCAGACTGATTGTAGATGGAAGGTCGCCTGATGGGGTAACCTTGTCAGGACTTTGGGACATTTTCTGGCAGGTATTTCTTTAAGCTAGAGACTTTTTGTGACATCAAGGAAGTGTGTCGTTTCTCTTGTGGGATGTCCAAAGAAAAGTATTTTCAGGTGTCAGTACCTCTGTAGTCATAAGCACTATAACAGTTTATTTTTTTAATTTGGCTGACTGTAACTGATGTTTATGTAAAACTTATTTAGAGGCTTCAGAGTCAATTTGGATCTTCAAGTTCTGTTTTTGTGCCATGGTTTTGTTTATGAATAATTGTGCTCGCTGTGAAAGAATAGACCCTTGTGGGTCTAAACAGGGAGAGACATTTTAATGAACATGTAATGTTAAATCAAGTTCTCTAAAGCTAGTCAAGTCGGTTGACTAGGCAGAGTTACAGATTTTGATTTATTGTATGAAATGTCGTCTCTCTCCTGTGGTGCAGGAGAACACAGATTGTTTATTTAAAAAGGAGATTTTGTGAAGCACTTGGTTTGCCGACGACTGTATCGAACATGGGAAGAATACTTCCAGAAATTAACTCTGCTGTTTCTCTGCTACACTATGCTTCAGTCGCATGCTGCCAGTTCTCTTTGGGAGCAAACAGGTTGATTTATGGCACAGTTTTCCCCTTCATTACGTGTTGATGACAGATTAAGCCATTGAATCAGAGCATGAAGCTTATTGGTCCACTGGATCATAGTTATGTAAGTTAATGTGTCACTCCTGCTGTAGAGAACTGGGCCCCGTTCTTCGTACGTGGAAGCTGGTTAAAAATGAATCTGGAGCTGTTGTCAGAGCAACAAGTCCTTAAGCCCAAACCTGTTTAAAAGAGCAGCTTTGTGACAGTTAACTGGATCATGACCAAGAGGTTTTAGGGTGAACCCCATACATGAACTAATCAAAGATATAAATGGCTCACTTTCTTAGATTTATGATAGTGTTCTTATACAAATATATCATTTTAGATGAAAACATGCAGGTTATTGTAAAGATCACCATGATCTGTTGGCGTAGTGACCACAACTCAGTTTTCATTATAAAGTGTTATTGATACTTAAACAAGATAAATCTGTAAACAAAATGAACTGAATTTAGTTAGAGATGCTATGGGCAAAGAAATAAACTCAACTAGAAGATTCTGGTTGATTAAAACACCAATGAAACCAGAAGATGTGGCATTTAATTTGACATTAAAATGTGAATTTATCATTTGAATTATACTAAAAGTTGCAGCTGCTTCTTTTTTTTTTCTTTCTTAGAGATTTTAGTGAAGTATCATCTTGATAGCAGGTTTATGATTCTTACTTAAAAGTCTTGTACGTCTGGGTGAACCTCCGCTGATTATGCACCAACATCACTCGCAGTATGTTCACGTATATCTTAACAATGATCAAAGTGTGGAAACATGGAGAACAAAATGAGTCCATGAATCTGTTGTCCCAGTGCGTGCCGGGAGGGTTCCTAACACACCTACCTCGTGTACCTGCAACCGTGCGATCAACACCAATCTTAGGGAAGCCGATCATGATTCCAACTCTCTACTCATTTGTCTTTATTTCTAAATAAAAAGAGCGGTATTGTTCATCCGGGATTAACAAATAGATCCTCTAACTGCTTTTCAAAGAACCAAATCATCTGGATGAGAACAAACAGGATTATTTTAGCCTGATAGCAAACACATTAGACTGAATTAGTTAAGCTACATTTGAAGAACAGGGCCCTGATCACTAGGACGCTACCAGAACTACCACCCATCTCCATACGGCAGCGGTAAGCTACTGCTGAGTGTCACTCTCTCAGGGCTCTGGGTAACATGAGACACTTTGCTAATCTGTTTTTATTTTGCAACCTTTCTGAACAACGTTTCTTCATTGTGTAATGCAAGATTGTGTCTGTGTGTGTGTGTGAGGGTCATTCAAGTTATTTGCCTCGTGTCATTTATGTGTAAACCTGTATATCCATTCCACAGTCATGGATGAGTCAATCAATTAGCCACCAATGTTCTCACTCACTGTTCAATAACTGCTGTTCTAACAACTGGTTTGAAGATGTGTTTTTCAAAAATAGTACTAGATCAGAAAGAAATGTTGTAATGGACACAGCAGAGACGGTCATCGCAGACTGTACGAGTGTCGGAGCATTATTGGAAAACGGTCACTGACATTCATTTAAAAAGATAAACAACTAACCGATTTATCGTTTTCCACGTTCCCCTCATATTGTCTTCATAGCTATTGTTCAAGGCTATGGTGTAAACCACAAAGACGTTCAGACGAACCCTAATGCCTTTCTTATAGCATTAAGAAGAAATAAGATAATCAAGTATGTTTCTTGAACTTTCTGGCGTGCCAGACGGGAGACTGCTCAGGGGAATTTACCGCTGCTCTGTGATCAAAACCTTGTACCTTCAAAAAAAAATAAAAATAAAAAGAAAAGCAGCTTTTCAGGACTTTATTAAAAAAACTGCCTTATTCACAGGTAGATCATACACTTTTTGAAATTCAAGTTGCTATAATTGTTTTTTGAACATGAACCTTAGGGGGTAACTCGCTCTACATAAAAAGGATCATGAACTCTCAAGGAAACTGTCTAAATTGGAGTTATGAGGTTTTTCCACTTGAAGCAGCATTATGTCTAATGTATCACAGGAGTTAAAACAAAAATGCACTTTTTATTTTTGTGAATGTCATTGATTTGTATGTTTGTTTTCTTTTTGTTTATTTCTTTTAAGGGGCTCTTGAATAAAGATTGTAGGAGAGTTTTGGTGATCTGTTTGGGGGAGAAAACTACAAATGGTTCATTGTACAGCTATGTTTATCTTTGTCAAATGGAATAAAGTACAATTTAGATGAAAAGTAATAAAGAATTTCAAACCTGAATTATGACTGGAAATGACTAATCTGATTTATTGTGTGTCTGGAAAATATAATGTGCTGTAAATGTGAAATTATCACATAAACAAAAAGTTTATCAAGATGTGATTTATGTTGCTGTAAGTCAAAATACTGTTCATAAATCACAAAGGCATTTCAAAACATGGTCAGGCTTATTTTAGGCATGTTTCACCAGCGAGGCGCAGTTACTGCAGCGCTCTCAAAACATTTCCACATCCCCGCAGTGGTGCCAGACCCCGCTGCTCCGACTCAAATGGCTGTCTACAAAAGGCATTTATGTAAATCACTCCAGATCTCAGGAGCAGAGATACCACTGATAAGTCCATCTGACCCTTTAACAAGTAGTTTTCCAACGTTGTATTCTGTTTTCTGGCTCTCCCACCACCTCAACCCTACTGGGAGATTATAAAAACAATTCATTTTCTGCCATAAGACCCTTCTGAGGAACTGCAGAAGTTCACAAAATGTTTCAGTTCAAGGACCCCCACAATAGATGCACATTAGACCAAAGACCCCCAGTTTGAGTTTAATGGATCCTTACTGAGTTCTTTTTTATTTATTTATAAGAAGATATAAAATAATTCATAAACAATATGATATAACTAGTATTGTTCCAACTTCCAACAAATGGGATAAAAGTTAAAATGTTATATTCCTGGATAAAATAATAGTATAGTCCTGATAAATAAGAAGCTAAAAACCTAAAAGTCTTCATAGTCAATGATCAAATTAGGACCACTATAACATTTGTAAAGTATATATAAAGTTGTTACAGATGTTATTGTATCCCAGGGACCCCTCATGAACCACTAAAGGACCCCCGTAGGTCCCCAGACCCCTAATTTGAGAAACACTTATGTACACTGTACATACAAGAGAAATTCAAAGAGCAGTTTCTATACATTTATATGTCATTAAAAGCCCTGAAACATTTTCTTATCAACCATTTGGAGGTTTTTTGGGGCAGACCTTCAACCACAAACAGCTTCATAAAATAGAATTGTGTGTTTATTTTAATTGCTTAAATTGATAGGAAACAAAAATCTTGCTGTCAGAGTCAGAGAGGGCCGGCAGTTTAGGACCCCTGCTGTAGACCCATCCTCTACAAACAGGAAACAGCACTAATGGATACGCCTGCCTCCCCACATTAATGGTTAAGTCCGGCCAACGCAGCACTTATGTGCAGAGTGAGTGATAGAGACCAGCCTTTCTATCATCAGAAACCCTGCAAGGACTCAGATGGCTCAGATAGAAAGAGAGTCCAACATGATCCTTCACTAACGGTGCCTTGTGTCATTCAGAAATTCAATCAAACGTATTTCTTTATCACATATTTTATTACATACATGCATTAATTACACTTAGCACTGCTGTAACTCAACACCACAGCCTTGCACTAAATGAAAGTGAAATAAAAAAACAAACAAACATGAGCCCATCCCTGATCTAGAGCATTTTTATCTGTTGGTCAGTGGTCTTGGACTAGCCACAGCGCATGCGCACATCGCAGTTTGTCTGCGTGTCATGTTGATGAATGCTAAAACTGGGTAGTCAACATGTCCACCGCTGCTGCTCAACGGAACAATAACGAGGAGCCCGGGCTTCACGGTACGTACCGACGACCGTTTCTCCGCGTTTACGGTACAACGGCGACTTTAGCTTTAATCTACGAGAGCGCGGGTTCGTGAGGATATTCGCGTAATGGGGATTTTTATTGTAAAAGTTACATCTGGTACGGTATTTCCTCTTCTTCTGCGAGGGGCGGAGGCTGATGTTGTTTGACGTCACCGCCGAGGCAGCCAATGGCGTCGCGGTAAAGGTTTGATTGATGGGACGGCAGCCAATCACGTACGCAGGTCGGCGTTGGGCGGGCTCTAGACAAAATGAAAACAAGTTTTAACAAAAGACGAAATAAATGTTGTTTTTATTGGCGATTTTTTTTTTTTTTTCTAAAACTATCTCACACGCATTTTTTTTGTGGTCGAGTTGCCTTTTTTAAAAAAATCCAACATGCTTTAGTCTTTTTAAATAAATTTAAATGTAAAAAAGGAGACAATGGCAGGATAATAGCTCAACTGCATACACATTAAAACACATTTAAAACACAAAACTGGCAACAAAAAAAAAAAAGAATAGAAAAAAAACCCAGTTTATTAAGGGATTAAAACATGAGAAATAACGGGGACGTGTGCTTTATATGTAGGCAACATCACAGCTGGAACAGCGACATGTCTGGGCAAACTGTCTCTCACACTGCACACCGCAGTTATGCAAGCCCTCTCATGAGAGCAGCAGATGACAAGCTCGAAATGTGCGCTCGGTCATGCATTTGTGCGTCGTCGAAACACAAAATCTCTTTATTATCCTCCAAAACGAAGGGTTATTGGAGGGGGAGGGGAAGGGGGGGCATGCATCTCATGCTATCACAAGCTTTACATTGTGTGCTCACCGATGCCCGCTGGCCGTGAGAGATTACATAACCCCCGCCTGTCTGGAAAAAAAAAAAAATGTGCAAGCTTGTTTGTGGGGCAGTGGCACAAAGAAATGTATCGTGGATGCAGTGCACAGTCAGTTCATTTGAATGCAGTGTCAGTGGTGCAGCTAATGTAGGTCAGCTGTTTCCATTTAAAAGACAGACAGGGGTGTGTTTTCTGTGTGGTACACAAGCTGCTGTTTGGTTTTGCCCTTAAACACAATTTCCCTTCCTTCCTTCCTTCCTTCCTTCCTTCCTTCCTCCCCTCCCTCCTCTTGACCTTTATGTTGCAAAGGCTCTTGGGTAGAGCTGGAGCTGAATGGAAACCAAGGGGCCCAGGGCGCGCAGACGGACCCGCAAATGGACCCGCAAATGACACCCGCTGCAGACGAAATAAACGCGAATGCTGGCATGAGTGAAACTTTGCAGACCTTGGAAGTGGTGTCTGAGAGCGATGAGACCCTGATTGGGGGGCTGGAGCATGTGCCGTCATCCTCTTCGATCCACAACGGGGACATGGAGAAGATCCTCCTGGACGCGCAGCATGAGTCCAGCCCGAGTAGCTCCTCCTGTGATAGGTAGGAACAAAGGCCGCCGTAAAGCTCTTCAAAGCTCTTCAAAGTGTTTGATGTTACAAGATTGTCATCCCATTATGTTAACTCAGTCCTCACAGGCCACCGAGTCCAGATCAGGATGAGGGTCAGATAACGTTTGATGTGGAGATGCCCAGCTCAAGAGGTAGTCAGGTAAAAAAAAACAAAAAACAGTAAACCTTAAAAGTTCAAAAACCCCCCCTTTTCAAGTCTTTTCCTTTCACCCTAAAACCTGAATTCTTTTACCTCCACGTTTGCAGTCGGATGAAGAAGGTCCAGAGCACGACAGAGAGGAAGACATCCTGCTCAATAAAGAAGTAGACTGGGTCTCTGATTGGTCCAGCAGACCAGAAAACATTCCACCAAAGTAACCAAACTTCCAGAATCACTCACTAATAACGGTTTCAGGATATTTAAATCATTTTAGCATTAACTGGTTGATTGATAATTCCTCTCAGGGAGTTCCACTTCAGGCACCCCCGACGTTCGGTATCTCTCAGTATGAGAAAGAGTGGCGTCATGAAGAAAGGTGGCATCTTCTCTGCTGAATTCCTCAAAGTCTTCATCCCTTCCTTACTCATCTCACACATCCTCGCTCTTGGCCTCGGGTAAGTCTGAACTCACGCAGTTCTATCGGGGCTTCACATTAAATGGTTTTCCTCAGTGTACCGAATTCTTCTTTCAACTGTCCCAATAACAAACATTGTCCCAAATAGAAGTTTATTTTCATTCTGTATAATTAATATAGTTTAATAACTTTGTTTTAGTAACTCTCATGACTTATTGACTCACTCTGGTTCACCATGGAAGTTTTGTTAGTTTTTCCTCTGCACTTAAATCTGAATATAAAATTTTAAACTAGGTGTTTGGCCACTATCAGTTTTCATAAGTCTTTGTTTCTTGTTTATTTCTGTTTGTTCAATAAATGCATTACTGCAAACTGCAGAGCAAATGTAACCCAGTTTGGTATACAGCAATAGAAATAAATAATGATCACAAACTCACTACAGGCACATCGTATATTTGAAGTAAAACGTTTAATACAAATCTACAAGGAGGGAGAAGGTCAAATGGACTATTTACATATTTACCAGCTATAGGAACACCCTAATCCAGAGATCCGTCCAGAAAGAGTGATAGAGAAAGTCAAAAGTGCCCCAAACACCACACCTACTGACTTCCTGCACAAGAGGCAAGGCAGGATCCTCTCGTAGCGTAGGAGCTTGCACAGGTGCCACCTCACATTTTTCAAATTTGAACACCTAACAATTAAAATTATTTATATTCCATGACTCATAAATGTAATACGGGAAAATCCTTGCAGGGCCATTATAAAAAGTTGCCTTTACTGGATCTGCACTGATGTCTTTTACTTGACACTTTAGTGAGTCACCCTGTGCTGTAGGAGAGGGTCAGTAAAGGCTGTGTCATTGTCAATTTATCAGTGCTCTGCTATTTGGGGGTCCAAGATGTCTCCAATTTATGTATCTGATGGCTGTCTGCTCAGATGTGGGCCAAATTATAAAACAGTGTGAGTGGTGAAAATGGTTCATTTCAGCGGCTCTGTGGCTCACAGCAGCTGAATGAGTCAATCTTTTTCTCGTGCAACCCGGAAGTTAGCATCGCCCTGGTTCCCTTAACAAAAAGCCAGCTAACAGGGTATAAACCAGCTACACCCACTCGCCGTCACCACCACTAAACTTTTAAGTGTTCAGCGTGATGACGTCTAAGGCAACAAGCCTCATTTAGCAGGCTATCTTTTTAGCAACAGTATGGCATCAGTATTAAATTTAGACTGTTTGATAACCAGTTAAAAAAACTCCTTGGAGTAGGTTTAAGTTCAGGCGTCTAACAGAAAACCCATGGACTCATGGACAGAGAACTGGGGGTGCAAAATGTTAACTCATTTCCGTGTTTGAGGACTCATTCCTGCAGCACTCTATTTCTGGATACCTATGAGATCATGATTATGTCATTTGATCCCATAGACGCTCAAAACAACAGAGCCAAGGTAGCCTAATATTGCTGTTTGACATAACTTCACACTACACCAATACATAAAAAAAAGGCATTTATTAGTTACTAAAAGTAGGAAAAACTGTAACTTTCCCCCAAAACTAAAGTATCTCATTAACAAAATCACACACATTTAGGCTATTCTGTGTGATATCCTTCTGATAACTAATAAATAAATAAATAGTATTTCCACCTGCATTCACTAACTTGAACCTCCCTCTCACTTTGAAACCCCTGTATTAGAGAGCTGGCCTGGATGTTAATGATAATGTGTATGGATTAATGGTTCTATTTCACTGCTTCCACATTGCATTACCCCATTTTGTTTTTCAACTGGACTGCTTTGATTTGATGTTTTTCTTTTCTTAGGGTGTACATTGGGAAGAGAATTGCCACAGCCTCCACCAGCTCCTACTGAATAGAAGATAAAGCAGTGCCTGGATGTTCTCCTGTCTCCAAGTCTCTCAACCATCCTCCTGTAGTCAAGCTGTCTCTCTGCATCTATTGTAACGCCCACATTTCTCCTCCAATCAGCATTAAATTCTGTCACATTGTAGATGTAGTTATAGAGTTATACACATGACGTAATGTGGTTGCACTCCATCACACATTAACACAGGGCAACATTGTGCACCCAGCAGCTGCCACCAACTTGAATCCAGTAGAAAACTGACCCTGTTAGAGCTGGAAAATATTAGTCATCCTCTTCAGCTCTAAAATATATGACAAGGATTTGCTGTCCGGTGGCTTCAGGGTTGACGTTTCTCTACTTGTTTTAGATGTTATGTCCTGAGAAATCTGGCCTTTTCTCCCAAGCTGCATCTCTCCACTGGTGTCTCAGTAGGAAGAGTGTATGAACCAAAAATATGTCTGCAATACAAAACAAATTGAATTGGCTCTGGAAACAGAAAGGACTTTTTATCGCCTTAATTTTTTTAGCTAAACATTCAAGGTGCAGTTATTGGGGGGTGGGGGGGACAAATGATGCTGCACAGTGGGATTTGTTTTTAAATTCCACACATTTTTTGAGAATAGAAGTCGTATCATGTTGACTCCCGGGGGTTTCTTATTAAAAGCTTTGTTTTTCTGAAGGTTGGAAAGCTTCTAGTATGTAGCTGCAACATTTTACAGTGGGGTTGTTTGAGTAGCTATGATAGCGGAACCTAGGCTGGATGGCAATTTACCAGGCCATATGCTATTTTTAGTTCTTTTTGCCTACATATCGTCTTCTTTAACAAAACATAGCAGCAATGGCAAAGTGCCAAATTTCTATCTTTCACCACCGCACATTGGTGATTTATCTTAGACTGTTTGTTTTTTTATTTTCTGATATGTTTAGGTATTTAAAGATATAGATGTGAAAAATAATTTAAGCTGTGATCCGCCCCATGTACACATTTTGACATTGTATAATTTGTTTATAAATTGATATTAATGCATATTATATCATTGTTATTATATAGCATTTGTGGCAGTGTACGTAATGTGTTTTTGCTGTCGTTTTAATAGCCGAAGCGTCGGTGGCAGAAACCATCACAGTGGAAGGTATTTCCAGGGGCCTCATTTCATTTAAGAGTGTTATCTAACTGATCTTTATCTAGAATACACTGTGCAATCATTTCACATAACATGATACAATAAACAGTGTACAGTGTGTGTAGAACTTCCAGAGAAACTTGAGGAGCATTTCCTGAAGAAAATGCATGTTTCTGTATATTGATGCTGGTGATTGGATGACCGGAGGATTCTTCGGTCAGCGTTTGTAATGGATGACATATGAAAAGAAATCATAGACCCTAATGCACAGTGTTGGCTGTATTGGTTTGAAAGCACTCGACCTGCTTTCAGGCTTTATATAACTCATCCTAACTCATAAACTGTCATCATAACAGGCTTATGTACAGTTCAGTTTGCAATACAGAGCATTTTGGAATTTGAATAAAGTTTGTACTGTATACAGTGGCTGAGATATAAATACTAAGGGAGTGGATAGAGCTCCACATAACTTAATGCATTATTTAAGTTATAATAACTAATGCACATATCATTATAGGCTTCTGCACAGCTGATAAGTGAGCAGCAGTGAGCATTTTCAAATCTGAATGGACTGTATACTGAATACAGTACAAAGAGGCTGAGACAAACAGTCTTTAAAAGTTGATTTTCTAGACTCATTTTAGAAGAGGACTCGTTAAAATAAGGATCTTTTAACTCCTGTGGTCACCTAGCTATGTTAACATAATCAGTCCAAAGTAAACTTATTCGTGTGAGTAGTTGATTCTTTTGAAGCAAGGTTCAAAACATCTACAGGCATTTGTTTTGTTCTTTAATCCAGGAAAGATGGATTTGTTCACACTCTCAGTTATGAACAAACACACCTGGAAGCTGCCCAGTACATCCACAGTGCGCAGCTGGGGTTAAAGCTCTTGCTCAAGGGCTCTGCGGTGGTGGTAATGACAGGGGGGCAAGTGTTACTCTTTAACTTTCTCTACCTGTATTCGTCCTGATAGTTTAGGAATCAAATCTGCAACCTTTTGGTCACCGGCCCACCTGTCTAACCATTTTTAGGCCACGGTTATCCCAAATCGTGCCTTTACAAAGAAATCTTTTCTTTTTGCTATTTGTACATGGTCGAGCAATGCAGTCGATATGAGAGGTTAACTTTAAAGCAATGTTTAGTTGCTTCTAATTCTAATTATTTGCCTACTTGCATGCCTTTGACTGGCACAGTCTAGTCTAATTCGTTGTGTTGCATCAGAGGGGTCAAATCTTACCTTTTAAATGCATGTACAGAACTGTTGTCTTCAACCTGACAGACCAAACATTGCTTGTTCGGGGCAGGGCCCTGCTTAGTGTCCAAATTTATCCCATCAGTGCAAAGTAGCTAGGACCTAGGAGTATGATTGTTATCGTATTGGAAACATGACATTAAAGTGTAACATTGCTCACAGTGGAATATAGTGTTTTAATTCTTTCTAACTACACATACAGTAAATTAAATGTCAGAAACAGCTGTTATAAGACACATTGTGTGTTCAGGACAAAGGGTCATCTTATATAACCGCTCCCTGTAAAAGGTTCTCCTGATACGACAACTTGCTATCTTATTTACAGAAATATTTTGATTTTAAAACAGAGACATACATACACTCACAGCTACACAAATATTGAACTTACACAAGCATTACCGCACATTGTATCTACCCTGTAACCCTCCCTACCTCTCCGGGGACCAACAACAAAAAACAAATGCAAATGACCATAAAAAATAATACCATAAAACAGAAATATAAATGTAATGCACCTTACACATAAATTAAGAAAAGATAAAGATTCAATATATAGACATTAGCTGTGGGTTATGGTAGCAGTAAGCTAAAGCAGGTAATAAAAAGGGGACCATACCTAAATAAACTTTGTAATATTTATGTTTTTACATTCAGTAACTGTTCATAGTTGTAACTATTTTATTCCACAATAAGATAAGATCAACTTTATTGATCCCACACTGGGGAAATCCACTTGCTACAGCAGCTCCAGACACAACAGGGAAGAAAATACACATGAAATAAAAACAGAATAGAAAAATACAAGATAAAATGAAAGCAGAATAAGAGAATAAGGGTCACTATATACAGCTTTTTATACAGAGATGTGAGTGATAGGGAATAATACACAGGTTACAGCAGGAGGTAGTGGCATGGTGTACAAATAAATAATTGCACAGGACAGAAAAATGTATAAACAGCAGTATAGATTAGTGGAAAAAAAGAAGCTACAGACAGGTGCTATGGTTATACAACAATATATAGGTCTAATACTATTAATGTGTGTGTGTGTGGGGGGGGATTATATAAATATAAATATATGCAAACTGTAGAGGACAAGTAGTGCAAAGAGTAACTGTGATGATCTGACAGTCAATTAAACAGGTGATGCTTAACCCCCCCCTCCCTAAAGATGATAATAACACATCAAAGAAACATGGAGCTGGAGCTGGAGCAGGGCGGGGCAGTGCGCATGCGCGGTATCTCTTTGTGGCCCTATCTCTTCTTGGTGCTTGTCTGGTCTTCTGAGACCTAATTCTAGCAGTAAATCCAAGGGGTAGGACTGTCGGGCAACGCTGTAACCACTCACTTAAGATCGTTTGCCTCGGCTGCAAGTGTGCAAACCTCACCCACTCATCGACAGGAATACTGTGAGACAGGTCTCAGCTCACCCAGGGCGTCGACTGGCCAACAAGCAAGAGCATCCATTCATCCTTTCATTGGCAGCTGAAGGGTTTTCCAGTCGAGCTAGCTAGCGTTAGCCAAGAGGGCAGCTGTGTCTGAGGCAATACTTGCAAAAATGTCGGGTTACCAAGGAAAGAAGAACATCCCACGAATTACAGTGAGTATTGTTTGTGCGCTTCGGAAATATTCCAGTTATCCTTCAGTGGAGGTGATTTTTGACGCGCGGTGAGTCTCTAGGATTAGACCTAGCCAACGCTAGCTGTCGTGTCCATTCATTTACTGTCAGCAGCAGCAGCAGCAGCAGCCCTGCTTTCAGCTGCACATACCTGAGAGCCTGGGTGTGAATAATGATAAGCAGAGACATTGGGTTTGCAGCAAGCTCTTTGCACCATGTAGTATTGTTTCTGTGTTAGGTTTAATGGAGCTCTACCCTGGCTGCATCCTCATCCTTGCAGGGTGTAGTTAACAGGTTTGAGCACAGGTTTTTCCTCCACTGGCTTCATCTTTCATCCTCCATCATCTGAAATCCACTGCCTCTCTTTAAGTGGTCTTTTTGTGCAAAATCTTCCAATGCTTGCACGCTAGGACAAGCCCCTTCAATTTGTATTATGCTGGTTAGAAATTGGGGGATTTTTACATTATAATGTCTTGTGTTGGCCTACAGTAGGGATGCCGTGATAGTTAAAAGAAGTAAAACCTCTTTTAGTAAAGTAGGTCATTGGACAGCACCCATCCAAACCTTCCCCCCCTAAGCTTTCATCATGTAGCAGTTAAAGCCAGAGCACTGAAGCATATAGGCAGCAACTGCTTTAAGTTTGATCATTTAAGAGCACTAAACTGCTTTATGCAATGCGCTGACTCAGGGTCAGGGCTCTGTTTTTTGTGCAGTCAGTTTTTCTAGGTGGTTGTCAGAGGTCAAGGTAGGGTCATAAACATACCGCCCAGACATCCCAGACACAACATGCAGACAGCAGTAACTCTGCAGCCTCCCCACCCTCAGGCACTCGCAGTCAGACAGCACTTGTTAGTTTGGAAACAGGCTGGTAGTTTCACTTTTGTAGAGCTGTTAACAAAACACAAAAGGTCAGGCTTTGTCTGTAAATAACACACACACACAACATGTTCGTCATGGCTGCACAGTGTCATCGGCAGGGTGGTCCTCCTTCATCTTGTATCATATCTAGTACCACCATATCCAGACACAGTCCATTTATCCATTGGGCGAATGACAGAAGCTTAATTTGTTTAGTCAGTTAAAACAACAGTGCTAATGAGCAAACTTCTCTTCAATTTAATAATTATTTTTTAAGACAACACTACGTTGTTCATTGACAAGCGATGTTTTATTGAACACCTAAACAGAATAGTAAAAAAATACATTATCTGACCTTATATTGATGCAATAATGAAGATAACGATGGAAAAGCAACATATTCTATTAACCGTGATAATAAGTGTGGTCTCGTGTTTAGTAGCTGCTTGCCTGTTAATCTTTTGTTGGGTCACGTTAAATAACCGAAGGCAATAATTATATGATTACATTATTCGGAAATAATGTTTTATTCATGCAGATTTTTGGGTCAGCCCACTTCAGTTGTGCACACACTCAGTTGGCTGTTTATTAGCTACACCTTGATGATATTAATGTGGTATTAGAAAAGTAAGAGAGAAGCCAATTAATCCTGCCTTCATGTATAATTATATTGTTTAGGTTTCTTTTTTGGTTTCAGAGGTGTTGATTAAAATTAAAGTTCTTTTCGGAGGCTGCAGTTGGGGCTGCACAATTATCAAAATATTATTGAAATCGCAATATGGCCAAGAGCAATATGCAAATCGCAGGAGCAGAAATTAAAATGTCTGACAAAACAGCATTGTAATGAAGTACTGTAGCTCTGAGAAGATGCTCTGGCCCAAAAATCTTGTTCTCCAGATTTAAGAAAAACATGTTTGTTTGGTACAGGCCCCAGAAAATGTCACATCATCCCGACTTTAACAGTATTTTTCAGCGTAATTCCCACACTTATTGTGAATCATATTGCAATCGCAGTATCTGTCAGAATAATCGTAATATGATGTTATTTTCCATATTGTGCTGCCCTAACTGCCGTTTATGTTGCTGTTGAATTGTATCGTGTTATACTGACAGGTGTTTCTATTAATCTGAGGGTTGGAAACACCTTTCTGCATTAGACTGCATTAGCTAGGTGTACCTAATAAACTGGCAACTGAGTGTAGATCTGTGTATGTAACGCACTCCTACTTCTATTTACAGTATAGCCTACGCTGCTTGACTCTGAGCCCTTTACTGAGTACATTCAGTTCTCAGTAATCAATTCAGTTTTATGACTGTAGATTACAGGATAAATCACAAGGGGCCATTTTTACTGCAGAGAAGTGCATATATACAGTATATACGTCCTGATACATGGACTACAGCAGTGCACAATGAAAGCCATTTTGAGCTGAGGTATATGACAGTCACAGTGCGCTCGTTGCTGACCACTCGGCCACGCAGAGTACGTAGGTTATATGACCCACTTATAGGAGAGTAGTAATGGTCGGGCAGATCATGTCAATACTGCCACAGCTTGTATATCTAATGCATTCCCACTGTTCCGTGTCCACCCACTCTGCACATTAAGAAACGTATATATTTATATACGAGTATTTCCTGCTGTGGGGTTTGCAGTAAACCGCTTCTGTCTTAATTAGCTCTCCTCGCTGTCCTCAGAGACCCCGGGAAGCCTGTAGGAGAAATAGGGCAGCCTAGTGCGCTCTCCTTTCATCTTTTACAGGTTAATTGTGCCACTCAAGTGCTTTTACTCGAGGGCTTCAATCAAAAGTAGCTCCCTCCTTTCAAGTGACAATCTCTGCTGTGCGTGAATAAATTATGTAGGATAACCCTAAGCATTGTTTCCACAGGTTGAAAGTTGGTATGGATTGATGTAACCACTCTTTCTGCCTTAATAAAAGTCTTGTTGAGTTCTCTGAGCAAACTGGGAAATGCGTTGAGCTAAATGAATCACTAAAGTTGGCCCAAGGTTTTTTTTTCTGCTCTAAAAACGTAATTTTTCTTTGAAATTGGTCAAATTTACTGTTGAATTATGGATCTGACTATTAGCTACAAGGGATTAACAGAGATGATTTCTTGCTCTTTTACTTTGCTCAGCAGGTGGCTCGAATTTCACTCTGGTTTATAAGTAATGTAAAACTCTGTCTCCTCCTTTCAGAGTGACCGTCTCCTCGTCAAAGGAGCAAAGATAGTGAACGATGATCAGTCATTCTTGGCTGATATCTACATGGAGGATGGAGTCATCAAGTAAGTTTAATTTGAAGATTAACAGGGCTACAGGTTTTTGTTCCAGGTGGGCTCCTAACTCCCGCAGGGGCCAAAATATTGAATTATATCTACAAGAAGGCACAACTTTACCTTGATTACTGGAATCTAAGTTTAATATTTTTTTCTTTCATTCATTGTGTTTTCTTTCTTTCATTTGTCTCCTTCAGGCAATTAGGAGACAACCTCATTGTTCCCGGGGGAGTTAAGATCATAGAGGCTCATGGGAGAATGGTGATGCCTGGGGGTATTGACGTGCATACCCGATTCCAGATGCCTGACCGAGGCATGGTGGCAGCAGATGACTTCTACCAGGGCACCAGGGCGGCCCTGGCTGGGGGGACGACTATGATCAGTATGTGTTACATTAGACAGATTTCCACACGC